AATCATAAATTTGTTATAATGTCTTTTTTCTGAGTGAGACATAAAGTAAATCTCTTCAGATTCTAGATACAGGTGAAAAAATCATCTAATATCTTCACTTTCCAAAACAAAAACTTTCCTAAATTTTATATTCAGAAATGCTGTCGTGCTGCCAAATTTCCTTAGGCAGTTAAGAAAACACTAAATAGTGCTGTATATTAATGCCTGAAGTTAGGCATAAACATCCACATTCAAAATACCTGGCTGACTTAAAAAATGCTGTAAGACTACAACTCAAAACAGCTTAAATACTCTGAAAATCAATCTATATTTTTGATATCTAAATGTTAAGACAGCCCTGAAAATACTGACATAGTAAGGATTATAAAGCAGGATATACTGTTTTCCTAAGCTGTACTTTAATTAGTTACTCAGTTGTTCAGAAATAAGTTTTCTAGCAAAAGTTCTAGGTGCACTGAGAGATTTTAAACACAGATACCAAAACAAGGGTGCTGTCTCAGCAAACACAAACTCAGTATTTAGTCACACAAGGCACTACTGCAAATGTAAGAGCTTTCTGAACTGCAGTCACGTGCTTTTCACCAGCCTCACTGAAGTACTAATACTGGAATCTAGACAATACTGCTTATATGATGCTGAAATTGTTCTAAAGTCCTCAGAAATTAAGTTGATGTTAAAAGGGATGACCATACAGAAAACCCTCACTGATACTGTTTTTGCTTTAGCTGAACTGATGCTAACGTAGTAAAAACGTTTCTTCCTGCAGTTTCAAGAGCAATCAAATTCATCCAAACAGACAAATCATGAGCACTACACAAGAAGGGAAGACACACTAGTGGTCCAGATGAGTCCCAAATCAAACGGGGAATCATACTCCTGAGGAAAGGCCCAAAGTATTGCTGCAAGAGGGAGAAGCCTTTCCCCATCCATTGGAAAGCCACTTCCCAGGGTTGGGGAGTGCAGGGGGGCAGATGTGAGAGGTTTTTCACCATTCAGGTTAGATGTTTGAACCTTGGTAACTGTTCCTGTCATTTGTCAGAAATCATATACCAGAATGTGAATCTCTTCTGCTGGAGCTTTTTTTGTTCTTAATAAGAAATTAACTCTTAATTGTACATGAGAAGAATGACTGAAGAGCAGATTCTGCTCAGCTAAGTGGAAGCAACTTTTGGGGGAGTCTGGAGTATGGGTTCATCCCATCTAGCTCATCACAAAGAATCTAGCTTAGAAGCACATTCTCTGTAAAGAAAAGTCATTTCCACCATTAGCAATAGAGGAACAAAAGTATAAAAGTTTTGTGCCTAAACCAAAGTGGGACTAACGTGGCTTGAAGGTAAATGTAAAGTCATTTTTGGCTTCCTTTTTCTCTGGTGGAGGGAAATCTGCACCTCCAGGGTCTGATTCAACCTGTCTGAGGCCTGAATTGTTCTCCAGAAGTGTTTATCTAAAAGCACAGGGAGAATTGGGTGACTTGAACTTAATTTAAAGACTTCATTTAAGCTTCTATAGTTTGTGAAGTGATTCTGGGTCTGACTTACTTGTCTGCTGACTTAAGGTCCTCACACAGCAAATCAAAATTTCTGCTCTGAATCACACAAGGCAGGAACATGAACTTGATCAGGAGATCTTGGTTCAGGAGAATTCCTGAAATGGTCTTGAGTATTCTAGAATTTTTATAAGGTTTCAGTGATAAAAAAAAAGCTTATCCTGAACCACAGTGTTATAGAATAACTTAGGTTGGAAGAGACATCTGGAGGTCTCTTATCCAACCTGTTACTCAAATCAGGCTCAGCTATAGCAGTCTGCTCAGCACCATGCCTGGTCAGGTTTTGAATATCTCCAAAGATAGAGACTCCACAACCTCTCTGGGCAACCTGCTCCTTTGTTTGACCACCCAAAGGATGAATTTTTTTCCTGGTACTTAACTGCAATATTCTGTGTTCCAACTTGTGTCCATTGTGTCTTGTCCTATCAGCACACACCTTTGAGAAGACTCTAGATCCATCTTCTCTATACTGTAGCTCTGCAGCCTGGTAGATAAAATGTCACCATTGATAGTACCAGGCCACAGATTTTGTACTGGATTTGCAAGGTCTCAGGACTAAGGTTTACTAGGTTTATTTTTGTCTTAACTTGGTTTGCCTGGCTTGGAGCTTTAATTTTATTTGGTTTAGTTGCAACATCAGTTTTACTTCCAACCATATGGCTATGCCTAGTTTGTCTTACTTTTGCTTATCTTTCTATTGTACAACAATAGTTTTTGTATAGATATTAATTGCAAGCAGTCATTCTTTATAGAATGAAACATCTGCAACGCCAGTGAGGATAGAAAGCAAAGTGTGCTTGCAGCCCAGAAAGCCAAGCAGGTTGATTCTCCCTCTCTGCTCTACTCCTCTGAGACCCAACCTGGAATACTGCATCCAACTCCGAGGGTCCCAGTACAAGAAAAACATGAATCTGTTAGAGTGGGTCCAGAGAAGAGCCACAAAAATGATCAGAGGGCTGGAAAACCTCTCCTATGAAGAAATGCTGACAGAGATGGGGTTGTTCAGTGTGGAGAAGAGAAGGCTCTGGGGAGAGCTTGTTGTGGCCTTTCAATACTTAAAAGGGACTTACAAAAAAAATGGAGAGAGACATTTTACCAGGGCCTATAATGACAGCACAAGAAGCAGTACAAAACAAAACAACAGAGTGCTGCTCATGCTTTCTCTTTCTCCCCCCTTCTTTCCTTCCTTCCTTCCTTCCTTCTGTCCCTCCCTTCCTTGCTTTCCACAAAACACCACACAACAGCTTGGGTTTTGGTTTTTTAGCTTCTCCTGACTTAGCTTCACAAGTTTGGAGCCAAAGAGACAACAGGTCTGTCTCAAGCAGGCAGAAGGACGGTTTTCTTCCCTCTGCCAACTCCCTAAAGCATCCCAGGAAAAGTGGGAAGTGGGCAGGATGTGTCTGCAACCCCCTGGGCTGCACTATTCTGGCCTGCACTATTCTGGCCTGCTCTGGTTCTTGGAGTTTCCCCCCGATGTTTTAGGGGCTGGGGTCTAAAAGAGAGTGCCAACCACCATCTTTTACCCAGACATTATGTGAAGAACAAAGTTGGTGTGAAAAAGTTGGAGTTAAGGGAAAAAGGCAAAGGTGGAGTTCTCTGGAAACGCCATCTCCCGACTCTGTCACCAGAGCGCATCCATCCCCTTTCTCCCTGTCCCCTAACAAGAGAGAGCCCTTCCACTTGGGCCACTGCTTTGGCTGGAGGAAAGATGCCCTTCTCCCC